CTTCTCTGGAAGGCCACCGTTTCCTACTCAACTCTCCTCCTCAGGGCAGCCTCCCCCTCTGCCCACGGTTGTCTCCTCCTGCCTGGGAAGGATCCAGCAGTGTCCTTCTCCTCCACAACCCCCTCAACATTCCAACCCCCTTTCTGCCCCTTCTCCCCCTGGGCTCAGCCAACCCTACACTGCAGTTCTCATGTCCTCCGTGCTTGGCACCTGAATCCACCTCTGTCCTGCATTCTCAGCCTTGTTCACTACCAGCATCTTCCCTTTGGCATTAAAAAATGTTCAGTCTCCCCACCTTAAAAGTCAAACAGCCTCAGGCGTTTACTGTTGACCTTCACTGTGTACATTCCTCACCTCCCATTCACTCTTCCAGCCACAGCGTTCCACCTTCTGGCCTGTAAGTTGTTCCCCTCACGTGTCTTTGGCCCACATTAGCAAGGCACTGCCCACCCTCCATCCCTGCTCAATCCACGGGACCTTTCTCTGAGCCCGTCTCTTTTCCTCAACCTGCCCAGCTCCCCGACAACAGGCCTGAGGGCCCCGCAGTGTTTGCTTGGCCCCAGAAACGGAAACTTTCCCAGGGTAGGGCAGGAGGCTGAGCAGGGAGCCAAGGTACTGAGTGAGCTCTCCAAGGTTTTGGAAGCTGTCCTAATCCTAAGTAGTGTCCAATTGCTTGAGCACACCCGCGGATGGTGTTGCTGTAACCTGAGCCAGGCCACCCCAGCGTCCTTGACTGTCCTTCCTGGAGACTGGGCCACGCTTGGGTCTCTTTTGTTGAAATGAAGCCCTGTTCCCTGAATTAGAGAGGAAGGAGTTTCTGAGGGCGTTGATTCAACCCCTCCTCCTCTACCCCACGGACTGGAACTCCAGCTCTGTTCGGTCACTTCCAGCGATGGGGAGCACACGGTCTCATAGCTCAGCGGCACTTGCCGGGCAGGCTGGTTGTGTAATGGGCCCGGCATGGTAAGAGCTCTGTAACTGTGAGTTCCGGTTCTCTTGTCCCTTCCCTCTCTCCAGGCAGTGCTTGCTGCACATCGTAGAATTTTTTCCCCCATTGGGTCTGGTACCATGCCTTTTTGATGAGTCCCTACATTTGGCTTCACCCTGCCCTACAGCCCAGGAGAAACCCAATGAAATATCGAGTCATCTTCACGAAACACCGTCCTTCTGTGCATATGCAAATGAAATCTTGGCATTTGATCTTCACAGGAACCCTGCCTGGAATGGGTGGTATGTTTTGGGGGTGGAGTGGGGACACCTAGAGAACTTGTTTTCTGCACTTACATAACAAGTACTCTGTTTTTTACTTAAACTGTACTTCTGAGGGACATGTTTGTGGGAGACTCTTGGAGTCTATTCAAGGTGGGGGGTGAGCTAAGAAACCCAAATTGCTTCTTGGGCTCTGTCACCAACAGTGTCCTCAGTATGCAGCTGTAGGGCTTCCCCACTCTCCCCCCTCTCAGCTGCGTGCAATGTTGGTCCTCCCTTACCCTCCTGGATGGGGTCATGCGATCTTTCTTCCATTTTATTTAAGTCTTTCTAATCTTTATTACTACAAGTGGCCTTTCCCACTTTTTTCTATAATGCTTTTCTCTTCTTGCTTTCTTTTAGATTGATGGAACACTTATTCGCACTTTTCAGCTACAAGTTTAAATTTGTTATATTCTTAAGTGTCTCCCTAAACACTTTAACATGTATACTTTACATATCAAAGTTTACAGTTAAAGTAAAATTAAGACTTTATCCCATCCCGAAAAATTCAGGGACCTTTGAACACTCTTCCCTTGTCCTCCTCCTGCCCACATATTATTACTACCAGTTAATTTAGTTATATCTTTTTAAAAACATTCCACAAGACATTATGAATACTGTTGTATACAGTCAATGCTTAATTGCACTGACCCACGTGCCTGCCGCTTTCTACTCACCATTGCAACTCGGACCTTCTTTGTCGGATTTACTTTCCTCAGTGTTGAAGTATATTTTTTACACTTTTCGTCAGTTAGGGTCTGATGGTGACAAACTCTCAACTTTTCCTTGTCTGAAAATGTCCTCATTTCCTCTTCATTTTTGAAAGGCCATTTGTCAGGGTATACAAATCTAGGTTGAAAGTTGTATTTTATTAGGCTTTGAAGATATTAACCTACATATTCTGGCTTTAAAGTAGCTGTTGATGAGAAAGTCTTTAGTTACAGCTAAAATCTTACCCTGGTCATCCCTATTCCCTTCCTCTCTCCATAACAGTCTAACCTGAAATAAGTATGCTTCCAAACAGGTTTTTAAAACTATGGTGTATGTGTAACACGTAGTATTGCTGTTTGTGTTTCAGTGATATTGAAATGTCATACATGATAACAGCAGATTTATAAATCAGTATGGATAAAGGAAATACAAATGGTGCTGTGAATAATGACTGTCCATGTGGTAATGGGAAAATGAGATCACTACCTCATATCGTGCACGAAATTTGAAATGGATCAAAGCCCTGCACTCCCCAAACTGTTTCTCCAGAGACCTGATCCCGGCCCCTCAGCTAAAGGCCCTCGGGCCACTGTGGAGATAAGAGTCTGGCTTGCCTTACTGTGTAGGGACAAGGTCGGCTCCTGGGCTTCCTGATCCCGCCCTACCCTACCCACATTCCACAGCCAGAGCCTCCTCCCTCCACTTAGTACACACCTAGGCCTAGGTACAATACCAGCCAGGGGCAGTTGGGATTATTCGGAAGCAACTGTATCTCAGTGAGATGAGTTTTGGGGAGCCAAAGAACCTCCAGAACCCAGGCTAGAAATTATCTCACACATTCTCCTTTTATTGATTGTTACTCACCCAAAAACAGCTGTGTGAATATTTAGTTTAATTGTACTGACCACTCCATGTGGATGGAAGCTGGGTGCTTTACACACATCTTATTTAATCCTCCAAACAACCTTATGAAGTAGATAGTATTACAACCTACAGATTAGAACAACCTAATGTGTTCTGCAGGTTAGCAGCTGAGATTTACAGAGGTTAAGAGACTTGTCTGGGGCGGGATGTGTATCTCAAGACAGTTACATCCACTTACCATTTTCTTCGCTAGCCCTCGTCTCCTCCCAGGTGAATCCTAAATGGTTCTTGCTGGGAGCCATGGCTCCTTCATCAGGTAGGAACTCCCTCAGGCTCCCCCAAACACTCCATTAAACCATCAGGCTGAGACCACACTGATAAATAAATTCACCCTAAACTGTGGAAGTCTTCTGATAGCCCTTCTTGCAGCCTCACTCTCTGACCTGGAAGGCCAGCTTGCTTTTATTTGTTTGTTTGTTTGTTTGTTTGTTTGTTTGTTTGTTTGTGAGATAGAGAGAGAGAACTATTGATGTGCTGTTCCACTTATTTATACATGCATTGGTTGTTTCTTCTATGTGCCCTGACCGTGGATTGAAACCCCAGCCTCGGTGTATTCGAATGATGCTCTAAGCACCTGGGCTACCCGGCCAGGGCCTTGGATGACTTGCATTTGAAGTGGAGCACTCAATGTTCTGATCTAATGCAATGGAGCACGCGTGTGCGATTTCAGACCTCTCTCGGGATTCCTTTTATTATTCTGCCACCCTGCCTTCTCTGTCTATGGGAAGACTGGATAGGGTGTTTCCCTAGCAGAGGAGCTGGAGACCATGTTGGCATTTACCATTCCCCGAGTCAGTGCCTGCCATCAGAGTTCAGAGATCAGAGTTCTGAGTCCACCTGTTTTCTGGTTGGTCCCCGACCATCCCCACGCCAGGCCCAGCCGTTGCTCTTCTTGCACTGCTGGGAGGCTGATTCCCATGTGCCGACTCCTCCGGGCTCCCTTGCCCTCTCACCGGAGGTTGGGTTTGGCAGAAAGGAGATACCACCAGGAGCTTGGAGTGTCGGAGAACAAAGGGGCTTGGACATTTCCTCTCTGCTTCTTCCGTCTCCGGCATCATTTCTCTGGCAGTAGTCGCCCCTACGAGGCTTCAGGAACGCTGTCCCTTTTTTCCTTCAGCTTAGGGATGTCCGTGGGTTTGCTGCTGCTGCCAGTCTCTGGAAACCACATCATACCTTGGTTGGCTCCTCAGTTCTGCTCTCCTTCTAGAAAGAGCCCTGCATCCATGTCTTTTCATCTGAAACACCTCCAGTGACTTGTTTCCCGTGGGACCCTGACTGTTACACCCAGGACTGGAGGTAGAAATAGCAGACCCTTCCCCAGGCACGGCTGGGGCCTGGACCAACCTTAGTCTTTCACAGAACTTGGGCTGGGCAATTGAGAGCTACACCTGCCTTGTGTGAAGCTTTGGACAATTCCCTGCCCCTCTCTGGGCCCAAGTGGCTTGTTCCATTAATCCAGGCGGCACTGAGTTTGACGATCCTCCGCATCCTCCTGAAAGTCGCACTCCATGTTCTTTAGTGTCAAGTGTGTCCTGTGGCCTTGGGGTGAAGCTGGCCCTTCTCTGATCCAGGATCTCCCTTCTGGCGCTAGAACCTTGTCCCTGACTGCACCTCTCAGAAAAGGACTCAAAGTGTCATGAGCCTCACCTAAGTGCAAGCCTCCCAGTGGCCCATATTGCAAGGGAAAGATGAGAGCTCAGGCAAGCTGAGCCTCAGTTTTTTTTAACCTGGAAATGGGTGTAGGGAGAGTACCTATGACCACCTCCTCACTGGGGTTAATAGACACAGTGTGTAGAAACCTCCTGAAACAACAAGGTGCTTCTACGAAAAAGCAGTTTTATGCCAACGATTGTAACAAAAATTGCCTTCCGTTTGCTCCTCCAAGTAACTAAGGCATGGTGCACCTTGTCTGCTTTCGTTGAAGTCCACCACCTGGTTCCTCTGCAGCCGTTTTGAGACTGGTCGGCCAGGCTGTCTCTTCTGTTGTCTGCTGACTTCGGGGACTGCTGACTGTGCCTTATGAAGCTCCACCCACTCTGGGTAGCTGCTGCTCTTTGGCTGGGGGCAGGACCTGGCCAGGTGTATAAGGAGACCAGAAAGCAGCAGGAGGAGCCTAGGTGACTGGGACTCCAGCCATGGGGCCTCTCTTACTCTCTGAGAGCGTCTCTCACCTGGGCCTGTGGGCTTCTGGACTGATCTTGGTCTTAGGCTTCCTCAAGGTCATTCGTCTGCTGATGCGGAGACAGTTTTTGGCCAGGGCCATGGACAGCTTCCCAGGGCCCCCCACGCACTGGCTCTTTGGGCACGCCCTCGAGGTATGTGGCGGGTATGAGGAGGGTGGGGTGGATAAAGACAAAGGCGTCTTTTGCTTCAGGAAATATGGCCCAGGCACCGGGGCGCCAAGGAAGGAGACCCTCCCAGGGCAGGGAAATGACGTCTCGGGAAATGGTTTCCATTCAGCTTTGCCACCAGATCTGCCCCATTCGATCCTGCCTTCTGAGCGGGCCTGGGTCAGGGCACTTAAATGCTGGAGTCCAAGCAGGCCACAGGCTCCCTCCCATCGTTTAGAGGCCCAAGGCTCAGACAAAGCCTCTGCTAACGTATTAGCATCAGGGCAAAAACCCAGGACAGTCTGATAAAATTAGGCAGTCTCGTTTAAAGTTTAACCAGCATCCCCTTTATCTGTCAGTGTAAAGGATTCCATTTTGACGCGGAAAACTGAAGGGAAGGCAGAGATGAGTAGTGTCTCCTGAAGACCTCCCAGGCCATCTAAGCCGTAGGTGCCCCCAATGGCGGGATTCTCCTGGCCGTGCCTATGGGCTGGGTCAGGGGATGTGGCATCCTCTTGGGTTCAGATCGTCACTTGCTGCCTCCTGTTACCTCAGGGTGCGCAGACCACCTTAACACCCATTGTCAGGAACACCTCTTCGCTCCCTACCTTCATGGGGCCTAGGCCAGAGGTTTCTGCACACGGGGCGAGGAACACTTGCAATGGAATCAACTGGGAGAAGTTGATTCCTTGGCCCTCAGCCCCGGGCGATCCTGATTAGCGTATTGAAGCAAGAGCCTGGATTGCAAAACTCTATGAGTGTTGGGCTCTGAGCCAGGTTTTGGGGTCCAGGTGTGGATGCTAGAGATTAAGGCTCAGAGAGAGGCATGATTACTTCTTCTACCTCCTGAGCACCTCCGTGATTCACAGTCTGGTGACTTGCTTCTCCTCCGTCATTGGTGCTGAAAAGGAACTTGGCTTTCAGATGCGGCTTGCCCAGGCTTCTTCTTGCCCCCACATCCAACTCCTCTCTCAGGAAGGCTTAGTAACCGATGTGCACCTTGCAGACACCCAGGAACGGAAAGGACGCATCAGAGGGGTGAATCACCCAGGCCCTGCTCTCAAGAAGCTTAGTGTCCAGAGGGGAAAGCTGACACCAGGGGCTTCCCTGCCCCCGGCTGGTGGGGTGCCTAACCAGGAGTTTGCATCAGCCTCATGCTCTGTATGTCAGCACTTGTCTCACTGGGGTGTCATTTTCTGTCGGTTTGTGCATCTTCCCCACTAGCCTATGACCCCTAGAGGATAGAGATCGGGTCTGATTCATCCTTGTACCCTCAGGGTCTAGCACAAAGCCTGGCTCAGAGTAGGCATCACTGAATGAAGAAACAGTGGATGTGGGAGAGCGGGGGCGGGTATCAGTGGAGGGGAGAGAGTGCAAGGGAAGATAAGAGGAGGAACCAGAAGGGGTTTGGGAGAGGCTTTGCTAAGTACAGAAAGAGCTCATGGGAAGGCTGATCTGACCCTACTGGTGGTATGAGAGGCATTTGGGAGACCTTCAATCCCTATTCTCTCACAGCCCCTTCACTTCCTCTTGCCTCCATCCAGCTGGCTTTGCTAGGACTGAGACCTTGCTCCCCTACTCTCATGTCAGAGTTTGCTGGTTTTTTTCCCCTCAGATACAATCCTCTCCGCGCCCCACCATGACCCACTTTGAGAGTACGTAGAAGGCCTGGAGCATGGCTTAGCTCTGGCTTCTTGGCTCCAACACAAGTACATGAAGGGTCGTGGTACCAGGAAGGGCCGGGAGGGGCGGGTGCTCTCTGGGACTACTAGGGTTTCCTGGAAGGCTCAACAGCTCTGCACTCCCCTAGGACATGGCACCTCTGCTCTGGTCCGACTCATGCCTGGGCTTGAGGAATACGAGGGAGAGGGGACGGATTATTTTTCCTAATGTGTAGATGAATTTGCCTATGTCCATGGCGTAGCTCAGGAATTGAGTTGAGGCTGGACGGAGGACCCCTGCCTTTTCATTCAGGATATAATCAGGTCCTAAAAAGTGACTGCGTCCCTGGCTCAGTTGCTTGCAGCATTGTCCCGTACACCAAAAGGTGTTGCCAGTTCGATCCCCGGTCAGGGCACTTAAGGGATTGATCAGCTACCAACTGATGTTTCCTCTCACATCGATGTCTCTCTCTCTCTCTCTCCCTGCCTTTCTTTCTAAAAACCAATAAACGTATTCTCGGGTGAGTAGAACGGGAAAGTGACTCCTAGGCCAAGTGCTAATGGGAGTAGAAGAGGAGGAGAAGGACTGGTGGTGGAAGGAAGGGCCTGGGGCAGGGAGGAACTGTCCATGAGAATTAAGTTCTCCGTTCTTGGTCTTCAGGTGCAGTCTAGAGGCCCGGAAGCATCAATTCTCAGAATTTGTCTCCTCGGAGCAGGTTTCTGTCCGATAGGGTCCTGCCCATGCCACAACGGGGTGCCGGGAGGACTTTGCACACAATGGGTGCTGAGTTATATTATTGGTCTGAGGTTAGGGCCCCTGGGAGGGACCCACAAATCTGACCAGTGTGTTGGGGTGGGAGAGGGAATGCCAGCTCCCACCCAGAAAAGACTGTCCCTTGAGTCTGCATGGAGTTGTTGGGCTGCTCCTTACCTGGGCCCTGCGGAGAAGGGCATGACGGTGAAATGCTGGTGTCTGGGCATGTACTGAGGGCAAAAGTGCGGGGCGGTCAAAGGCCTGAGGGGACAGGCCTTACTGCAAACCCTGCCGGGCCCAGGGTGGGGTGATTCTCACAGTAGCCCACCGGGCCTCTCGGCCCCGGGATAGGGTACTGCATGGTGGGCCGCACTGCGCTTTTCTCTGGAGGGCGTGGATGTGCAGAGAGATCAGGCTGCCTGTGGGCAGAGCAACGGGTGGGTGACCAGTTGTGTAACTTTGAGGAGCTGGCCAGGCAGCCATGTGACACCCCAGATGGAGGACACCCCAGGGCTTTGAATGGGGCTGCAGCTCCAGTAGTGGGACAGGTGCTGAGAGCTGTCCTCACTCCTCCCAGGTTGCTGGGACGATCAGAGGCAGGTAGGAGAAAGCTGGGCACGGGACGGCCGGGGCTGGTTCAAACTGTGGATGCGGTCAGCATGAGGCCAGGGTCTCCGGTCCCGGGTGGGGATGTCGCAGAGGGGCACAGTCATGGCTGAGGAGGAAGGGAGTGGGGCTGAGATGAACCAGGTCAGCCCAGGGCTCCTTCCAGCCTTGAGATCCTCTGAGTCTGGCTTCCCGGTAACTTAACCCCCCTCCTGCCCCGTCCACCTGGGCTTCCTGGACTTGGGGAGCATGGAGCGGAGGCGAGCAGTCATGGTGATGAGAAAGTAAGTTGGCGAGGGAAACCCAGGAGAACAGATGGAAACATAGGAGAGACTCGGGATGAAGGGTTCCTTCTAGGAACGCCAACCAGCAGGGAGGAACAAAAGGGGTCAGGGACACCAGAAGGTCCCTGTTACTGGTTGATGGAAATGATGTTTTTCCGTTTGTGTAGTGATACACTTTCTGACATTTTGTGCACCAGGGCAGTGAAAAGACAACCGCTCCCATCCCCGGCTCCCGGGTTGAACTCAGGAAGGTAATTCAGGGGCAATGAGTGAGAAGATCAATGGGGAGAATGCACTGGACTCAGCAGAGGGCCTGGGAGGAGAAGAGCCCCAGAGGGGGCAAAAGATGGGTGGCTGGAGACCAAAGTAGGCAGGCCCAGTGTCCAGGGCCCCTGGGGAAAGTGGTTTGGGTCAGACATCATCAGGTGCTCAGTGTCCTCCTTCAAGCCTCTTTTCTGGAAGACACATGAATTAGTTGCGTGGGTGTGGACCCTGCAAGGGAACTTTACAGGAAGGAAAAGCAGGGCCAGCACTTGCACAGACCTTAACACGAAGGGCACACCCTAGGACTGTGCAGCACACAATTTATGCAACTGAACTCAGCAGCCCTGACAGACTTCACTGTGCAGAAGGGACTGTGAGGGCTCTCCCCTGAGTCAGAGCGGTACTAACCCTCAAGCAATAGGCAAGTCATCGTATCTCCGAGCCCCAGTTTTCTCATCTGTAAAACGGGGGTAATTATCCATTCTGCACGAGGCAATCTATGAATTCACTCACGTAGTACCTGACATATCTGTCCCCTTCCATTTTCTATGTCAAGAGGTAGAATGCAGCCCTGACTGGTGCGGCTCAGTTGGTCGGGCATCATCCTGCAAAACAGAAGACCGACAGTTCAGTTCTCCAACAGGGCACTTGCCTGCGTTGTGGGAAGGTCCTTGGTTGAGGTGTGTGAGAGAAGCAACAAATCGATGTTTCTCCCTCACGTTGATGTGTCTCTCCTTCTCTTTCTCCCTCCCTTCCCCTCTCACTAACATAAATAAATCTAATATTTAAAAAACAGGGATAGAATGTAGAAACAAGCACCAAATCTGGATTAGCCAGAGCAGGCATTTAGAGCCACCTGGGAGAAACCAAGAAACATCTGCAATGCTGTTTGGCAGACTGACTCTCCAGATTGAGCAAGACTTTCGGCTGCTTGCTCATCAAAATGAGAATCTCTGGCCAGAGTTTACATTGACGAGATGCTTTGTGTGCTCTCTCCCCTCCTTCCTTGTCTTCCTTCTTTTTCATTTTCTCTACGTAGTCCATTCGTTCCACATATACTTTATCAGGTATGTACTGTTTCTGAGGCCTTGTGCTGAGATCCACAGTGAGCTGGAGGAGCCACAGATGTGATCTGTGCCCTTGGAACTTATAGCCCAGTGTGGAGCTGGGGTCCTGGTGTGAATCCCACTTCCATTGCTAACTGACATGTGACAAAGCTTCGCTACCTCATCTATGAAGTGGGAAGTATGATAGTGTCTTTCTTGTAGGTTTCCTGAGGATTAAATGAAAAAATTTGTATATCAGGATTAGTGCAGTGTCTGACCACATTAAATGCTCAAATGAATGCCAATATTAACATTATTAAGAGGTTTGATCATGGATGCAAGCAATTAAGCAGAGTGCAGGTAAAGTGCTAACAGTGCTGTAGGGGCCTGCAGGAGGGAGATTTCAGCCGCTGGAGGATAGAGAGGTCCCTGGAGCAGGGCAATCAGACTCTATGTCCAGGAAGGGGCAGTGCTCAGCTAGAGGGTGTACGTGGAGCAAGGAATGGAACAAGCAAAGGCACAGACAGGGTGCCACCCTCCAGGAGGCTGTCTTAGTTTCAGACATTCAGACACACAAGGCCGCCATGGGCACAGGTAGCATCAGACATCTCCGAGGATACAGGCAGCTTGCCAGCAATGGTGTGTCAGGCATTCCTCACAACACCCACATCAGCCATCAGCAATCCACCTGCTCCTACGCGGCTGGCCGGGGGCATGGAAATGAGACCCATGTCGGGGTGGTGTCTACCATGTCTTAAATCCTCAAGCCCCATGGCCTCCCACTGTCTGTCCCAGGGTTCCTGCAAGGGCCATGCACTCACACTCTGGAGAACCCAAAGCATGTGTCTCCATCAAGTGCTTGCTTCACTCGTGGTTTTTCCCAGGCCAGATGTTATTTACCGACCAAATTTCATTTTTGTAACAGACATGTCACCTAGCAAGACAGTTGATTTCTTACAGGTAACAAGTGTCCAGACAAACAAAGTTAGAGGAGTGTAAGCCAAGGTCAGCTTCCATGTGACAGGGGACAAGGTTTGGTTAGTCCTTTACCCCCAGGTGGAAGTATCTTAGGGCACTCAAATGTTCAGGGCACATTTTTCAGTGTAGCTGGGGCATTTGGGAGTAGGATCTGTCAGCAGATGCAGGGAGGGGGCTTGGAGGAAGATGTTGGGAAGAGGTAGGTTTGGAGGGGAGGGAACTACTTGCAGAGGGCACACCTTGTGCAGAATGCAACTCTAGGTGCATAGTTCATCACTGAAGGGCCTTGAATGGCACATGACAACACCTAATAACACACATGCCCTGCATGATTTCTCTAATGCCGAAGCAATCCTGTCAGCTAAGTATTATCAGCCTCATTTTACAGGTGAGGAAAGTAAGACTGAGAGAGCTGAAAGAACTTACCCAAGTTCACACACCCAGAAAACAGGGGACATTTGTATTCAAGCCAAGTCTGTCAAGCTCTGAAGGTTGCTGGCCATTGAGTCACCTTTCCTGTCTCCCATCCGGCTTCCCTGACATGCCGTCGGTCCTCGGCAAGGAATCTCAGATCTCTGCACTTTAGGCTCCTCTGCCTTAAAAAGGGGGCCGAATAGAATTGTTGTAACCATTGGATGAGGTCAAGATGTATGGTGCTTAGAAGAGTGCCTGGCACACAGCAAGTGCTTAATGAGGAGTAGCTGTGCTTCCTCACATATGAGGAAGCTCAGACTTTATTCTGAGACCCACGGGCTGGTCACTGAAGGGTCTGAAAGAGTCTCTCAAAATAGGGGAAAATGGATAAATACATTATGTTACATTCCTATAGTGGAATCATATGTTATTGTTAAAAAAAAAAAAAGTACTGACGGACAGTTAAATGCACTAGTTCGAAAAGTAGGAGGAGATACGTTAAATTTTTTTAAAAGGCAGGTGTGGAAAGGTATTTATTGTAGACTCTATTTTCACAGGAACATGTCTGGGTGAGTAGATGTGCTTAGTAAAACCCCCAGAGGGCGCACACCACCCTCTGAATGGTCTCTCCAGACTCATGTCCAGCTGCTGTCCCACCCTGAGGCAGTTCCTGGAAGACACCACACTGGGTCCCACCCCAGAGCCTCTGTACCTCCGCTCCCTGGACCTGGAATGCCCTTCCTTTACTCTTCACATGACCAGCCTCTTATCATCCTTCGTGTTTCACCTTCAGTGTCATCTCCGACCAGTGGCCCTGTGGATCGCTCTTATCCCAGCCGGTCACCGTGTTAGTCTGTCTTGCAGCACAGCATTTAGGTCTTTCTTAGAACTTACTATTGTTTGAATCATTTTGCTTAACTGTTTGTTTCTTGTCACGTCTTCCCCATAGAATGAAAGGGCAGGATCACGATTGTCTCATTCTTTTGAGATTTCTAGACAATGTCCTGCGCATAGGAGGTCCTCAAAGAAATGTGTCCAGTTACTAACAGGATGGACTCGTGGTGGTTCACTTTTGCAAAACAAGCTGGTGTCTTTCTAATGAAAAGCAATGCTGAAAGTAAAAGTCTTTCTTGCTGCAGTGTAGATAGAGGGTGGTGGCAGTCAGTAGAAGGCAGCAGGTTGGCCATTTGGGGGTTGTTGAGCCAACCCAGGTGCAATAAGAGAGGGGCTTGGATATGAAGCAGTGGCTCTGTGGCTGGAAAGGGGACTGAGCCCAGAGATGGTGAGGCCTCAGTGAAAGGCTGGGAAGGGGTGGAGGAGGAAGGAGGGATGCTCCCAGCGCCTTCCTGGGCAGGTTGAGGGACTCAGGACGTGCCTGGTAATGTTGGGTTCCTGAGTGGCCTGGCCTTCTGTCACCATTACAGGTCCAGCAGACTGGGAGCCTGGACAAATTTGTTTCCTGGGCCCACGAGTTCCCTCACGCCCACCCACTCTGGTATGGACGGTTCCTTGGCTTCCTGAACATCTACGATCCTGAATATGCCAAAGTCGTGTACAGCCGAGGGGGTGAGCATTCTCTGGAGAGGGGAGGACCTCCTGAAAGCAAAGGGCTCAGGGGACCATGCGGGGAGGAGTCCTGGGCCAGCACCCTAAGGCTGGGCAGCTGAGATTCATATCCTATTTCTCAATGAGCTTTTTTGGGGAATCCCCCAACCCTGGCTTGATCTGATCTTCTCTGTCTCTTACAGATCCTAAGACCCCTGATACATACGACTTTCTATTGCCTTGGATTGGTGAGTGGTCACCCTCCCTGCCCTTGGTGCTGCGTGATGGGATCTTTCCCTGTCCTGCCCTCACTCAGTCTGTTATCCTGGGAAGTAGGGCCTTCTCCTGCGGGATGTGTCTTCAGCTCAGGACAGGCAGGACGAGGGGTCAGGGAAATGTGAGGATGTGAGGAAGAGTTTCTAACAGGAGGTGACTGTAGACTGGGTCCTAGGAGATATTACAGGTGGTAGTGCCCCGGGCTAGGGCTCGAGGAAAGGCATGGTCAGGGGCCCAAGGCTGGTGTCGCCAGAGGCTGTGTGGATGAAAGGCAGAGCTGGGTCGGGGTGTGAGGGAGAGCTGGGACGACTAGGGTGGGGTCGGGTGGGACAGGCCTGCTTAGCCCCATTTGGGGCAGAATTGTGTGCACTGACTAGCCCTCCCTCTCCCACCCCTTCCCCAGGGAAAGGCCTGCTGGTCCTCCATGGACCCCAGTGGTCCCAGCACCGCAAGCTGCTCACACCTGGCTTCCACTTTGACGTGCTGAAGCCCTATGTGACGGCGTTTGCCGAATCCACGAACTCCATGCTCGTGAGCTCCCCTTGCCAAGCCCTTGGAGGCGGGGGCTGCGGGCCAATCTGTCTGGTCCAGTTTTCCCGGGGAGAGGGAAGTGACAAAAATCCCTGAGGCCCTGAGGTCCTTCCTGCGCGTAGCGGTGCAGAGACTTGCTGTGCCTGACACCTTCTGCTTGCCGGGTGCTGTCTAGGTGCGGGGTTCCAATTGGCCAGGCGTCCCCGGCCCTTGTCTGGTCCCGATACCCAGATGCTCCGCAGAAACCAACAGGCCTTTGTGGGACTCAGTAAGGCTCCTACTATAGTAGATTTGAAGGACGCCTATATTTGGGAATATGAGGAAAGCCATCCATGTTTAAAAAGTGGCTCTTCCCTCTCTACGGCAACTGCCTAAAACAGCACGGCACCTCATTCTTAAAAGGGATGCCAGGGGCCAAGGTCAGGCTCCATATTTCAGGTGCCAATAATCCCCAGAGGTTATTCAGGGTAGTCTTTCCCCTTGCAGGACACTCCTCCGCCCGCATTGTTGCCCGCCTGACTGACACACACATTGTGCTGGGGCGCTCGCCACCGCCCCCCACGGCTGCCCTGACAGGGAGAAAGTGTCCGTGTGTGCTGTGGAAGGCCTGCCTCCTGGTCCTGGCCTTGGAGCCTGATGCTTTGCCTGCCCCCACCCCCACAGTCCAGCAGGACAGTAGGCAGGCCAGGGCCTGGGTGCCTGGACAAGCTGCCTTGTGGTCCCCTACTTCACTCACCCTCTCTGGCCTCCAGGACAAGTGGGAAGAAAAGGCTCGTGAGAATAAGAGTTTTGACATCTTTGGCGATGTGGGTCACATGGCGCTGGACACACTCATGAAGTGCATCTTCGGCAAAGGACACAGCGGCCTGAGCCTTAGGTCAGAGGCACTTTTGGGTGACCGTAGTCTCACCCCAGGCCAGCTCAGAGGGGAGACTTGGCGGGACACCTGGGCCATGGCCTGAGAGGAGACTGGGTCCTGCCCTAGGAAACCCCTGCTGGAGAGAGCAAAACTTGCCCTCGGTGGGGAGACAGATTCTGCCGTACTGGCCGGGAGAGGAAGGGAGAAAGCAGTGACGCTGGGGCTGGATTCCTGGAATGAAGCAGCGAGGGGCTCTGCTGCAGGTCAGGGCCTGAGCGCGCCTCCCCCTCCTCCATCTGCTGTGCAGGGACAGTAACTACTACATGGCAGTCAAGGAGCTCACTCTGCTGACACAGGAGCGCATCGAGACCTTCCAGTACCATAATGACTTCATCTACAAGCTGACTGCACATGGCCGCCGTTTTCTGAGGGCCTGCCAGGTGGCCCACGACCACACAGGTGGGCCTCTCCCACATGGTCCAGCCACAAGAAGTCTAGGTTCTAATGGGCTCCTCGGAGCCCCTCTGGGATCCTGCCCATTGCTGGATTCTGTTCCCGTACGGGCAGAGGATGGGTCCCCAGGCAGTGACACCCTGTACTTCTGGCCTAGACCAAGTCATCCGGGAACGGAAGGCAGCCCTGCAAGACAAGAAGGAACAGGAGAGGATCCAGAACCAGAGGCACCTGGATCTTCTGGACATTCTTTTGGGGGCTCGAGTGAGTGCACAGCTGCCATCCCCCTCCTGAGAACCGGTTCCAGAGGGATATTCGGATCATGCTGCAGGGGCAGGGATCACTGCGCAGCAGCGGGGCAGTTAGGCATTTTCCTCTTCTTTCTCCGGCAAATAGGACCTGTTCCTTGTCGATGACGCATATGAGCACAGACTCAGAGGTGGGACGGTGCTGGGTGTGGCTGGCTGTGGCAGTGGGGAGAGATGTAGCAGCAGGAATCCTGGGTAACAAGCCAGAAGGTCTGAAGACCAATTCCAGAGGATGAGATTCTGAAGAATCTCAGCGCCCGAGAATTTTAGAATCTGAGACTTCATTCATTCATCCATTCACTCACTCATTCATCCATCCACTCCAGAAACTCACAGAGGCTACTCCGGGTCAGCTCCCGTGCTAGGGATTCAAAAGAGGAGAAAGACCTGGCACTGCCCTCCAGATGCTTACAGTCTAGCGGGGAAAACAGGAGGTGGATGCTGAAAAATCCCTCCCTATGTCAGGTGGCTTTCTGTGTGTCAAATGAACAGCATCAAGAGTCCATGCTGGGTAATGTCCCAGGTCACTTGGCCAGAGGGGTCAGGAAAGGCTCCCTGGAGTAGGCGGTATCCAAGGTAAGGATGGGAGATCAGACAGGAATTTGGGGGAAGGTCCTAACCTCAGTCTGAAACACAGCTTTCTCTACCTCCCTTGGACTTTCATTTTACAACTGATGTTACGAGGATTTCTTAGTCCCAACCCCAAATGCCTTGGCTTGCTCCACTATGCCTACCCTAACCCAGGATGAAAGTGGCATCAGGCTGTCGGACGCTGACCTCCGGGCTGAGGTGGACACGTTCATGTTTGAAGGCCATGACACCACCACCAGTGGCATCTCCTGGCTTCTCTACTGCATGGCCCGGTACCCAGAGCACCAGCATCGCTGTCGGGAGGAGGTGTGTCAGGTCCTCGGGGACAGGAACACCATCCAGTGGTGAGTGAGTCTGCGGGTGAGGCCAGTCTGTCCAGCTCAGCTCCAGGGAAGAGCTGCGCCCGTGCTTTCTGGTGTCATCACAGATGACACAGGGCCACCTGAGAGAAACCAGGTGAGGACAGTGGCAGCTTTGCTGTTACCTCCGGTGTGTGGATGCACCCCTGAGCCCATTCTCCCACAACAGAGCCTTTTCAGATGTGAGTAGTGTAGGCAAGGTGGTCAACCGGAGGCCGATTTTTTTGTGTGTTGCCCCTGATGATAGAACCTGACTCCTCAGTTTGCGGCCCATGTCAGCGTTTAGGGAGATTAACTCACATAACTGAAAAGCTAGAGAAAACTGAAGAATAAGTGACACCATGTTGCAGGAAGAGAAATCAGAAAATCAGAAGGGGTGGGGTTTAAGTTGGCTTCGTAAGGAATGTGCAACTTGAGCGAAGGGAAAGAGAGCCCTCATTCTGGTCTGGGTAAAGACATGAACATGCCTGGAAGCAGGGAGATGAAATACAGGGTTGGACCAAAGGTTTTTGTTTCTTTCTGTAAGATGGCTCTAGTAGTACTTAGCTTTCTTTAAATTCATTTGAAACAATTTTGTTAGATTGGATTTTGACAGCCGCCATACAGCATGCATTAAAAAAACAAAACTTGTGAATTTTTGTGTAGCCATTTTAGTATTAAGGATGGAAGAAAATCGACAACATTTCTGGCATATTATGATTTATTATTTCAAGCGAGGTAATAATGGAACAGAAACACAAAGATAGACTCGTGCGGTGTATGGTGAACGTTCTGTGACTGATTGAACCTACAAAACTGCTTTGTGAAGTTTCGTGCTGGAGATTTCTTGCTGGACAATGCTCCCTGCTTAGGGAGACCAGATGAACTTGATAGCGATCAAATCAAGACATTGAGAACAAACCGCATTATATCACGCAGGAGATAGGTGACATAATCAAAATAGCCAAATCATAAAGCTATTGGTGAAAATGGAAAAAAAGGTGCCATTTTTTTAATGCAAAAATCGAAATGGAATTTTTGGCCAACCCAGTATTTAACTTATTTTCACCTCATTCTGTGTAGAACTTGAAGCAACTTAAAGGAGGCTTATTCGATAAAACAATAAACCACAAATGAAAGAAGAACACTGCGGGGAAAACCTAGGGGCTGCATAATAAGGTGTTGCTCAGACCTCTGGACTTCCTAGTGGCAGCTGGGAGTTTGTGGCTGGAACCAGAGTCTTGGAGGATGCTTCTCTTACACTCTCTGTGTCTTTGGCCGAATCTTTGCACCCATGGTAAGAACTCAGGCTTTGTGTTGATGTGGGCCCAATCTTTTTTCTATAACATGAGTAAATCCCTCCACCTCTAAGCCCCTTTTTCCTCTTCTGTAAAAGGGAGGTGAGGAAGAGGACCTTCCTGACAAGTTTGCTGCCAGGAATAAATGGTCAGGGCTGTCCTGTATCACCATGCAAGTTGTGCCCTGAACAACTTCAGAAGATACAATTCACATAGACTATGATGCTTCACAGTGCCAACCTGTACATCTCTATGTGGCAGCTTCATAAAGAAAGTTCAACTCTATGTGGCACATGGCCTGCATGCAATGACTTGCAGCTGTCAGTATGGACAGCATAATGTTATAAATAACTTGTCTTGAGAGTCAGTTCATTGAAAGCAGAAAGTGTGTTATAGTCTTTGCATGTCCTGCCTTATGGTGGGGGTGGGTTCGGTCCTTTTCTGTTCCACTCCACAAATGTCTGTGTCAGGTGCTGTGCCCAGTGCTGGGCTACAGGAAATAGGTGTGTAGATGATCAAAAGCACTTGATGTGTTGAGGGTTGTCATGAACCTTCTGTCACTAACAGTGCTGAGGCAGAGGCTGGTGTCTAGTTAAGCACACACAATGGGATTCTGGCCTTGAGAGGAGGTGGGCCTGGCTGTCCAAGCCCCACGTGGTCACCTGCCCTCTGCTATGCCCACAGGCAGCCTGATCTCTCTGCACATCTATGCTCTTCATAGGAACAGTGCCATGTGGCCCAACCTTGAGGTAGCCCATTCCTGAACCTGAAGGTCAAATGGGGCAGGGACTGTGGAAAGTCGCCACACCCCTGCACCTTGCATGTATTTAAGTTAGGCCTTTCCCCTCAGGTCTTTGACTCCCTGAGGTTTTCCCTTGAAAATATAGCTGGTCACCACCCCTTTGCCTTCAGACACTCCTCCACTGGGCTCAGGTGAGGAGAAGCCTAATATTTCCAGGCCCTCAGGACTCAGGAGGCAAGGGTGGAGGTTGTCATAGGTGAAGCATCAATTTGGGGAACTCTGTGATGAGGGGTGCCATGCTTGGTTGTGGTGATTCTAACACACATAAGTTCCAAGGACCTTCTTGCTATTAGCATATTCATGTCCCTAGCAGGTGGTGACATGGATGAGTCAAGCCAGAATCCTCAATGTGAATCTAACTCCGTGTAGTCTGGGTTCTATCATGCATCCCTTCTAGACTGCCAACTTCCTTTTGAAAACTCAGCTGACAGTCTTATGGGAGTTCCCTTGTAGGTTACTAACTGCTTTTCTCTTGCTGCTTTTAAGATTTTCTCCATGTCTTTAACCTTTAACATTTTAATTATGATCGTCTTGGAGTGGGCCTCTTTGGGTTCACCTAGGTTTGGACTCTCTGCGCTTCCTCTACTTGTATATCTATTTCCTGCACCAAGTTAGGGAGTTTTCTTTCATTATTTTTTCAAACAGGTTTCCAATCTCTTGCTCTTTCTCTTCTCCTTCCAGCACCCACGTGATGCGATTATAGGTACACTTGAAGTTGTTCCAGGGACTCCGTACACTATCCTCAATTTTTTGGATTTTTTTTTCTTCTTGCTCTTCTGTTGTGTGTTTTATGCTTCCTTATATCCAAATCATGATTTAATTCTTGGCCTTAACCACTCTACTATTGATTCCCTGTAAATTGTTCTTACTTTTAATTAGTATACCTTTCATTTATGACTGGTTTTTTTTTATGGATCCCATGCCCTTTTTTTATGCTGTTGAAGTTCTCACTAAGCTCGCTGAGCATCCTTATAACAAGTGGTTGGAACTCTGCATCTAGCAGCTTGCTTGACTCCATTTATTTAATTCTTTTTCTGGAGTTTTGTTCTAGTCTTTCATTTGGGCCATGTTTCTTTGTCTCCCCAATTTGGCTGCCTCTTTGTATTTGTTTCTATGTATTAGGTAGAGCTGCTACATCTCCTGGGCTTGAAAGAGTGGCCTAACATGGTAGGTGTCCTCAGGGTTCAGTGGCACAGCCTCCTCTATTACCCAGGCTGGGTACTTGAGGTGTGCCTATTGTGTGGGCTGTGTACGCCTTACACGCTTCTGTTGTAGTTGAGCCTTGATTGCTGTTGGCACATCCAAGGTCAGCCACCACCTGTGTTCTGTCTGGAGTCACACATCATAAGCTACAAAGTGATCTGCAGATGGCTGCTACTTGTTCAGGGCTTGAAGGTACCCAGATGAGGCCAAGCTGTGAATAAAGGCTGGCTGCTGCTAGTGCCAGGCTTGGGGTAGCTTAGCAAGAGGTACAGGGCTTGCTGAAGCCAGATGCTGCTTGTTTGAGATAAGATAGCAAAATCTGAACATGGGCCAAAACAAGCCATTCATATGGAAAAGCCACTGGAAACAGCTTGGATGGACTCAAAAGTTGGAAGGGATGGGGCCTCAGAGATCACCAGGGTGGGGCAAACGGTGTGAACCAGGTTGATAGACTCAGGTATGGTGCTCACCTGCCAGCTCTGTGACTCTGTGGGGAGAGGGGCCTCTGCCAGCACTTCTGTCTGGGAGAAAGCTGCATCCCCAGTTCTCACCCTGGTGCCAGAAAATTCATTTCCTCCCCATATGTCTCTGATGCCTTTCAATCTGCTGCCCACACACTGAAGCTCAGAGGGAGTGAGTCTGAGTAAGTCTGTTCACGGGCCCTTTAAGAGGAACTACCAGGGAGTCCAGCAGTTTTTATCTTCCACAGCACCAATCCTGTCTGGTTTTTATAGCCAGAAGTTATGGAGAATTATCTTCCTGTCACTAGAACCCTGGGCGGGGTGGAGGCCTGGTGTGGGGTGGGAACCTTAATTCCTGAGATAGTCCTCCCGATTTTTATTCACCACACGTGGTTGTGGGACCAGCCTATTATACGTCTCTAACCCTCCTACCAGTTACATTGTAGTTTCTTCCTAATTCTGTAGTTGTAGGAACTCCTTTCAGCTTGATTTATGACAGTTCTGAATGATGGTTATTCTATAGTTTAGTTGTAATTATGGTGTGGTTGTGTGAGGATGCAATCTGTGTTTTCCTATGCCTCCACCTTGACTGGGAGTCTTAAAGAAGACCTTTTAATATTTCTTGTAAGACAGATTTGGTGGTGATGAACTCCTTTAACTTCTCCTTGTCTGGGAAACTCTGTCTGTCCTTTGATCCAAAATGTTAGCCTTGCTTAGTAATCTTGGTTATATCTCTTTGCTTTTCATTACTTTGAACATTTCACGCAAATCCCTTTGGTCTGCAAAGTTTCTGTCGAGAAATCAGCCCACAGTCTTATGGGTACACCCTTATAAGTAACTAACTGCTTTTTTTCTTGCTGCTTTTAAGATTCTCTGTTTGTCTTTCATCTTTGGCATTTAATCATGATGTGTTTTGGTGTAGGCCTCCTTGGATTCATCTTTCCTGGGACTCTATGCATTTCCTGGGCTTGTATGTTGATTTCCTTCACCAGGTAAGGCAAGTTTCCTATCATTATGTTTTCAAATAGATTTTCAATGCCTTGTGCTCTTTCTTTCTTCTTTCTGGCATCCCCATGATGTGGTATGCTTGATGTTGTCCCAGAAACTCTTCAGTTATCTTCATTTTTTCATCTTCTTTTTTCTTCTTGCTGTTCTGATTACCTTCTGCTTCCTTATCTTCCAAATGCCTGATTTGATATTCTGCATTGTCTATTTTTTAAAGATTTCATTTATTATTATTTTATAGCGAGGGGGAGGGAGAAAGAA